CAGGACATCAGGTACTCCTGACTAACATATTTGCAATGCTGTTCTCTTTTTCTTTTTTTTTTAGCCGCAGCATAACGGCTCACCTTTTTTTTATCTCAAGTACATAGCTCCGTCATCTTTTGGCCGATTTGAGATCTAATTGCAGTTTTGGACTCAGAAGGTCAAACCCTTTCGATTGATATTTTTAACTACGCCCAAGGGCTCATAGATTAATTTACTCTAATGTTGCCTAAAATAATTTCAAGTGCTGCGGCTATTGGGATTTCCTCTTATTCATTTTTGAGTTCTCATCTTTACAGCACACCTTGTGTCCTTTCATTTTTTTTACTTGCAGATTTATCTAAAGCTTCAACATTCTATTTATTTAAATGATGATCAGAAAGTTTCTTTTTTGTTCATCGCTTATTTGTTTTTTTCATCCTCATACTTTCTGAAGTTAGTTATTCTAAAAATTTTTAAGTTCAGCTTGTGTTCTTCATTTTATTGAAGCCACAGCGGCGAAACGTTAGCCGTAATAAAAAGTTTTTAATCATTACCTGGAGAGTTAAAGTTTTTTTTTTTTCTCCATCTTTATTGTTAAAATGTCTATATCCCTCCAATATGCACTATGAATTCTGATTTTACTTCATTTTCATAAACTTTATTCTTGTAATGCCTCAAAACAAAAATACTCGGTATGTTAAAACTTTTTTCGGTATAATCCTCTAGGATATGTAATTAGTAATTCATAAATTTGTTCTTGTTTGTTTGATTGGTTGTTGAAATTCACACAAAGCTATTCGAAAACTACCTGCACTAACCTTTCCTAATTTAGAAGTGATAAACTGGACGTAAGGCAGCTAATTAGTCAACACCACCCGCCGCCAATTCTTAGGCTATTCTTTATCAACGAATAGTGAGCCTGACCATCACTTATTAGCCCTCCTGGTTGTAAGGGCGAGCATGTTCGGGAACTGGTTTCGATCCCGCTATCCGCAGATTACGAATCGATCGCTTTAACCAACAGGCCATGCTAGGTCTAAAAATGTTCTTTTTTTTTCTATTAAGCACAGAACTACACAATGGTCTATCTGTGCTGTGCCCATCGCGAGTATCGAAGCTGGATTTTTTAGCGTTATAAGCCCTCAGACTAAACGCTGGGTTTCAGGTGAGCTGAACCTGTCCTAACATCTCGCATGTAAGTATATCACCTTCAATGGGTATTCCTGTTGCCAAAAAACAATTATACCGCAACGTTATCATTATAACAATTTCGACATGTCATGAGAAAGTAGACATTTTAAAATTATTTCAAGGTAACCCAGTTCAAGTCTATTTGTTTACCATTCGCAGCAAAATAAAAACTGCTCTCACTATCTTCTCCTTGATTTCGAGCAGTTTAGTGATATGATTTTCGTTATCTTTTTTACTCTTTTTACAAATAACTTCACGTTCTTAGGTGTTATATTCCCAAGACCTTGTTAACCACACGTGCAGATGTTTTCTCAGAATAGCGGTTATTCCCGTTTCAGTTGTGCACGCTACAACTGCAGGCCAATAATGCTCGAGATGTCTGCTTTTTCAAGGGAACTTTTAAGTTAGATTGTTTGAGGCTCGGTTTTTCTTCCGGTCATGATCGAGATAACGTGATAACCTCACAGAAAGCACGACTAGTTTTCCTCTGTCTCAAACAATTGGGCGAGCGGTTTCTTCAGATCTAATAGCCTACATTCGTTGTGTTTCTTATTATTCTTGTATTCTCTAAAATAGACCCGCCCTTTTACCGCTCCTTCGATTTAATTTAAATTATATCTTGGCTGACGTTCTCCTCTCAACCATTTTCATTTCTCACTCTAAAGGTTGGATATTTGCTTTGTTTTGGGTTCTAAATTAGATAATAACAACTTTTATCCAATGTGACGACCGACCATGAGCTCATTAAGACTCCACTTCATAATTACACTTCCTGAGACTGTAACGCACCACAGCATTGTGGCCTAGAATATACATAAGGTATTACGGTTGACAGTTGGGCAACTCTTGAAGCCATCTACTGTTAAGATTGAAAATAACATTTTAAAATGAGGGTAATATCATTTTTTTACTTACAAACTAAAAGCATACAAACTAAAAATGTAAGTCTGAGTAGAAAACGTAAACAATAAATGACGTTATGGATCTTATTTCTACTGAATTTTAAACATCTGCATTTATAATTACGAATCACAACTTCCAAAAACACATTTTACCATTTCACGCTCACCAAGAAAAATATACAAATAACACAGGCCTGCGAATTTCAACTTCATACAAGTAGTTTCAGTTTTAATAACGAATTTTCCATAATTAAGCTACGCAGATTTTGAAAATAATGTTCTTTTTTTATATCATGTAAGGATTTTTTTACAAATCGGGAAGAAGAAAACTTTTACTTAGATCAAATTATTATTTCTTTTACCACAATGAATATTTTTTATTATTAAGTTTGTTAACAAAAATACAAACAAACTGAAGAAAAGGGAAGAACATTGATGTCATACGAATATGCATCCTCATTCATCCTGACTTTTTGTGTGTGAAATCTACGTCTTTTGGTCTCAAAACTACGTGTTGTAGTCTTTCTTTTATATATTGCGTTATGACGTTTTGTGAAAAATCAGTACGTGATGGAGAAAATGGATATCATTTTCTGATTCAGCGTACAGGAATTGCTGTAGAACACGTAGAATTTTCAAGACAATAAAACCATCACAGGCATGTGTAATAGTAGTTTAATCATTAACCAATTATTATAGAAAATACATTAAAATCATCATCGTGTGATGTGTGAATGTAGTAAGGTATTAGATTCTTTGGGGTATTAACGGTGTTGAATCGATTTAGTAATTTTAAAGTCCGTATTTTACAGAAGAACGGTTCTCTATAACGAAGTGATATTCATGCAAATCTAAATACTATTATAATTAGGTATTTCGGTATTTTCAACCGGAACGACACTTTATACGCTACATTGGTTAAGCAGCCAGGTCAAGGATTGCAAGTTTCAAGTATAGTCATCTTTAATTTAGAATATCTGACCAGAAGAGGGCCAACAAGTCAGCAGCACCCGCCGCTCATGTGACTACTCTTAACCGAGTAGTAGGGTTGACTGTTACAGTTATAACCAAATCCTATGGTTAGAAGGGTGGGGCGTGTTAAATGGCTCAAACCTTGGATCTTCTGATCAGAGTTCTCACCCCAACCTCTAGGCCACGCCATGTTCAGATATTACTAGATTGACTGGGTTATTTTATTAATGTTACTTTAGAAACTTCGATTTATTTTCAATGAAGTTATTATTCTCATTGAATAACAGAAAATTTGCATCCTTAATTTATAAATACAGTATATTTTGTTATTCATAAGAAAATTTCACATCTTATTTCAACTGTAGGGTAAAGCAACATATTTCTAATGCAAAAAGTAAAGAATTGAAAATGCAGATAGACTGGTTTAGAGTCTGTATATAAAAACTTCTAATAAGATATTTGAAGCCTGAACTCCAGATGTTTGAACTTCACACAATATTAGACTGTGATGATCTGACAGTGTATAAAAAAAAAAACACTGAAGTAAAATAGAGAACTACAGACTTACATGGCGTAAACCTTCAACTGTCAACACTAAATCTTATCTTAATCAAGAAATTATTAGGGCTCTCAAAACTCTAACTTTAACTCACTCCACCAGTATGATTTTAAGAAGTTATACAACGGTTTAGCCGTTTATTGTATATTACAAACTGGTGCTTAAGTGGCAGAAAACAGCGACACAACATTTACAAACAATTAAAATTAATGAACTGTTAAGCTGTTGAGGGATTATTATTATCATTGATTTTAGCACCCCAATGAGGATCAGAAGATGGCAATTTTTATTCTAATGAAGTTTTTTATTATAAAATTCCAATAACATTTTATGCTTACTTCAAATCAGTTAACGTTTTATTGTTTAGAAGTAATATCTTTATTGTTACTTCAATTAACCGTCATAATTGATTGTTATAAACTAAGCCTAAGAATGACAAACCAAACAATAGAGCTTAACTATTTCATAAATCGTATCGTATGGTAATCACCTTCTGAAGTTAAATCTTTTCTTTAAGAAACTTGCTGTTATACAAGACGGAAGAAATACTTCATTAAGGGTAGACTTTGTAGAACGTAAGTTTAGTAGTAATACTGTTAAGGATAACAATATCATTATATGATGTCAAGGTAAACTTAGGCTTAACCAATACCGTATTTTAAGGTGTGTGTGTTTTGGCTAACAAGGACACGGAGTACACAATATATGTTTCAATTTGTTGACGTACTTAAAGCAGAAAGGTGAGAAGTCAGAGAATGATAATTTTACTGACGAAGAAACCTATTCGCATATACTATATTTCTGTTAGACTGCAGATAATTCAGGGCTCATAAAAATAATAGATACCTTTGTGTCCGAAATGAAAAGCACATTAGATAAATTCCATCGTATAATTTGCTTTTAAGAATATAATCTAACTATACTTCCACACTCCTTTTTATCTTTTAAGACATTGTTTATTATCACGTGTCACATAAATGTTAAAGTGGTTCCTAATTAGTTTTAACAATCCGTTCATCCCCGAAGCTAGAAAAGTAGGGCACTTTTTTCTTTTTCTTTTTTTACTCAAGCGTTTCTCAATATAGAAGAAAGTGATGTGTAAACCCAATGCTACTTAGGGAATAAAGACAAGGGTTTCAGTAGCATTAGCCCAGAAAATAGATCACAGAGGTTTCCGCCTCGCTCAGAAGAACTTTCGATCTTTGTTTGTTAGAACAAAAATTAGCCTAGGTAATTGACATTTGACTACTGACTTTCACCGCCCATGTCATTGGTTAGTGAGAAGTGACGTCAAAAGAAATTGGGATCTTGTTGCTATAAAAGCATTACAGAGTTCCTCACTTGGCACACTCAACCAAATATCCTCTGTTAATAAACTATCAAGACAGTTAAAAATGATTCAGGTAAGATTTTCAGACTCTTGAGTTAAGCCACAGTTTATATGACAACAAAGTGTTGGATTGGTTTAATTCTCTGTCCGTAGTGTAGTTGACTAACAAGACCAAATGATTCATCAATTTTTTGTCCCTTTATCATGAGTCATGTAAAATCTTATCCATGCTATTTCCGCTATTTACGTCATTCCTGATAACTTGTGACTGTGAAACAATTCAGGTAGAACTTAAAGTTTACCATGGGTAATATTGGAGAAATTGGAGCATGTGAACTATGAAGCAACTCACACTCACCTAGTGCAATTATTTCGTATTTATAAGTGTTTTTTTTTAATTTGTTGGTTTGTTTCAGAATCGCGAAAATCTACACAAGGGCTATCTGTGAATAACTATCCCTAATTTTATACAGATAAACTATAGAGGAGCGAGGTAGTAAATACTACCCTCCGCCAACTCCTGAATTACTATAGTTTGTGACGAAAAGTAGGATTTAGCCGTGACTTATATACCACACACACAGAGGCCCAAAGTGCGGAGCACATTGTTGCAGAAACTAGTCGCAAACCATAAATCCCCGGATTCACAGTCCGTGCATGAAAACCATTAGTCCACTTTTAATTGAAACTATTTCCTGTAATTTGTTATACTGCTCTTGAAACACCACGTAATTAGCCTATTGGTTTTGAGCGAATAAATGTAAATAATAAGTTATAGCTGAGTAAAAATCTATATCGACGAATTGTACATAGATAAAGCTATTTGTATTATACTTGTGTGTGAGCCTTTCATAAAAAAATGGGAGTATAAAGTTACTGTATCTAGGCTTTAAAGTTGTTTTGATAAATAGAAATATCTTATAATATTCTTACCGCCAATCAAATGATGAGTTTTAACTTTTACTTGAGAATTTTCTCTTTAATCCATACACTCTTTTTCCAGATATTAGTCGTACTGGGATTCTTTGCTGCCGCTGAAGCGGGTTATATTGGAGCAGGAGGAGGAGGTACAGGTGGATTCTATGGTGGGGGTGGAGGGGGTGTAGGAGGTAGCTACGTCAACGTGGTTCCCGTGCAGATTGTAAGTCGAATACTTGTAGAAGGAAAAAACAAAGCTATTATATTAAAAAAACAAACGTTAATTGCAATGATAGATATTTTTCAAACTTGTTAGTTTATAAAAGTAAACTTAGAACTACGAATTTGTATAATGTTCTCAAAGTTGGAATACTTAGAAACATAAAGAAGTTAATATAGTCAAAGTGAATATTAAAAAACTAATCCTATTTCTTGTTAGACGTAGTTTACCATGTTTTAGTCTGTACCAATTGTTTTTGAGTTTAATCTCTTTGTAAGTCAAAGTCTCAGACCATTTATTTAATTTCATGTCATGTTTGGTATTCACCTATGGTAGTTACCATTGCACTGTATACTACTAACATACTAATAAAAAATTAGCTAAGCTTAAACTTTACTGAAATAAAGGAGACGTTATGAATTGGATTAACATGATTTAACGTAATACAGCTTTAATGAAATAATAGTGAATCACAGTATTTGTCTTAACAACAGGGTGCTGGAGGAGGCTATGGCCGGCAACCAGTGTACCCTTCTATTCCTACGCCTTACGCTTTTAATTACGCCGCTCCTGCTCTTGGTGGATTTAGCGCACGCCAGGAATCTGGTGATGGATACGGGAGGGTGAGAGGATCATACAAGCTTTCTGGTGCCGATGGACGCCAGAGAAAAGTTCAATATACAGCAGGTCCTGAAGGATTCAGAGCTCATATCTACACTAATGAACCAGGTACAAAGAGTGAAAACCCTGCTGACGTCGTTGTTCAATCTTCTGCTCCCGTTGCACCACCTTATTATCCACCCAGACGACACCACGGATATGGAGCCTCTGCTGGTGGTGGTGGTGGTGGTCACCAGAAGTATATTATTGTTCCAGGTAGCGGCCCTTGGCAATAACCTGGTTCTTTTTTCTAATTTGATAAAATGTATTGCATCTAAGTAGCTTTGTGTATAATTTCGATTGCTTCAAAAAACTTTATTAACATGTGACGGTTGTTTGTTATCGTTTTTTCTCCAATATCCTTGAGTTGTTTGTCGATTGCGCCAATAAAATGCTGTCCATCTGCTTCTCCTTTCCCTATTATATAGGTTGTATAATATGTTTCGGTCTGAATCTTCTGAAGCCACATGGTGAATTTATACTAACCTGAATATTATGTTTTGTACATTTTGTAGATTGCTCTTCATTGTATATGTAACACCAAAAAAGCATCATGTGCAAATAAATATGTTCACTGGAAAATGTACTGTGTCAATGAATCGTCTGATAAAGATTGACTTGAAGACAAATTCAGAAAATAAGTTTTATCTTTCAACTTTTCTCCTAAACTAAACTGACAAACTTGTCCTGTTTCAATGAGTTACTTCATTGTTATAAATCAGTAACGTGTCGACTTTTAGTGTTAATTATTATTATTTTACAAATTTTTAATTTCATTATGAAACTGACCATTGTGTATAATCTCCCTTGGGGTATTATTTTATTGGTTTAGCTTGTTTTGAATTTCGTGCAAAGCTACACGAGGGCTATCTGCACTAGCCGTCCCTAATTTAGCAGTGACAGGCTAGTGGGAAGGAAGCTAGTCATCATCACCCACTGCCAACTCTTCATCAACGAATAGTGGGATTGACTTTCAAATTATAATGCTCCTATGGCTGAAAAAGCGAACATAGGTGACAGGGATTCGAACCCGCGATCCTCAAATTGCGAGTCGAACACTCTAACCATTGGGCGATGCCAGGCCCATTCTTTTATTGAAGAACTGACTCATCATATTTTGAGGTTATAAATATTTGAATTTAGTTATTAATATATATCTTTGGAGTAGCATCTAAGAACTCTTTCAATGTATTGATTAAAATATTCGAAAAGAAAGTATATTTGTTTCAGTTTTTATTTATTTTAGTTTTATTCAGTACTTTTCATACGTCAAAAGTCATATATTTTCCATGGTTCAGCGGTAATTTGGGTTTGATAGTCTCGAGAACAGAACAGCAATAGCCTATTGTATAATTCTGCGTTTAACAACAAACAAAAAAATCATATCACCTGCTTACAGTCGTCAAAATAAATTAGGAAATAATTCTCAAAATAATAAGTATAAATAAAGATGTTTGTTTGCTTTAAGGTTTAAAGCAAAGCGACATTAGGGCTAACTACGCACAATCATTGAACTTTTGAAGTATTAGACAATAGAAAAGGTAGCTAGCTAACAACACATACCACCAGCTATTGGATTACCCTTTTATTGATGGAATAGTGAGATCTGGACGTTACTTTTATATGGCGTCCCCTCGCCCTCAAGTGCAGTGCGTGTTTTTGTGGTAAGGGGACTCGAATCATGAATTCTATATGCCACGCAAGGCTCTCGAAAGGGAAGAGATATTTGAATATTATAAAACACTTGGATACAAGTTTGAAGTAAACACTGTGCTGCACCAAGGGTCAGCCATTAGCCACCTGCTTTTCGTCATTGTTTTAACGTCTTGAGTAAGGAGTATGGTAAGGGACCATTGTGGGATCTTTCACCGACGACCTTGTCCTGAAAGCTAAACGTAAGAACAAACTACAAACGCAAGTTAAGGTGTGGAAGAAAAGTTTGGAAAGAAGAGGCTTGAAAGTGATTGACAGAAAAATGGGAGTCATGGTGAACGGAAAGATTAGAAAGAAATAGGCCAAGATCACATATGTAAACAAGAAGCCGCTGGAGCAGGTAGAAGACTTCAGGTATTTGGGAAGTACAATCCAAAGTGAAGGAGGAAGAGAGAGAGAGAGAGTTGTGAAAGATGGAATCCAGGTGGGTTGGAGGAAATGTAAGGGAGTAGCCACTGGCATCTGTGACAAAAGGTTACCAAGGGCACTGAAAACCAAAGTGGATAAGACGGTGATTAGATTGGTGATCCTCTACAGAGCCAAGATCTGCACCCTGAAGAAGAAAGAAGAAGGCTTGATGATAAGAACAAAAATGAAAATGCGGAGATGGGTGTTGGAGATTTCAGTGAAAGAGAAGAGAATGAATAAGGAAAGTAAGAGAATAGCACTAGTCTATGGAATAGAGGAAAAGGCAAAAGAAGCGAGACTGAGGTAGTTTGGTCATGTGATGAGAAGAGAAGAAGAACAAGCAATAAGGAGAACAGTAGAGTTGTCAGTAGCCAGCAAGAGAAGACAGGAAATACCAGTAAAGCCTTGGAAAGATGGGACTAAAGAGGACATGAACGAGAAAGGAATTTCAGAAGACCCGTCAATGAACAAAGATAATTGGAAGAAGGCAATAAGTTTGAAGGACGGTGACCCCTGCTAAACAGAAAATCCGAAGAAGAAGATAAACGTCGGAAATTTTTTTAATTAGGTGGGCACCTTACTTTCTATGTTAACAGCGACAATTGAATTAAAAAACTGAAACAGCATCTTTTCTTGATAGTTAAAAGTCTATATTCCACATTCAATGGGGCACTTCGCTCCCGGTTTAAAGTTGGGAGCATTTATCCCCATTGCTTCCTGCTTTCACCACCTATCGTATTTTGCTTACAGATTCATTAAATACAATACCGAAAAAACAAAACCATTTCAACAATAACAACGAAACAGATAATTATAACTGAAAATATTTTATTGGACTTCAAAGAACAATTGATGAATCATGATGAAAGTATAGTTTACTATGGCGTTGATTCATTTTGTCAAGTCGTTTCATTGTGATTATAAATAAAATGTAGACACCTTTTACATACGTGTTCATGACATATAGAAAACCAAAGGATCAGAAACAGCAAATAAATCTAATTGTTGTTTTTCGCGCAGAGCCATTCATTTGGTTATTTGCGCTCTGTACGCTGCAGAGAATCGAGCCCTGAATTTTAGCATTGTAGGTTCGGAAACTTACCACTGACTTACCGGACAAACTCTCAGAAAACTGGAAAGTGAAACGGTTATGATTAAAATAATATTGTTTTGTTGCTCACTTGTTAAAATAAGGTGAAAAAATTCAAGTAAGAGTTACTCCATTTAGTAACGTTACTTGAGATGGTCAACAATTATCACCAAGGTGTGGGATGAAGTAATGAGTTTATTTTATTTAACTGAAATTCAGTTTTAATACTTTTTATTTTATTTAGCTGAAATTCAGTTTCAACCCTTTTTTTTTATTTAACTGAAATTCAGTTTTAAGGCTTTTCACTTTATTTCATTACAATTATCTCTTTGTTTTCTAAATCTCTTAAAAAAAGGCCTCCCCACCCGATGACTCAGCGGTAAGACTGAGAGTTTATAATGCCAAAACTCGGAGTTCGCTCCCTGCAATGAGTACAGTGCAGATATCCTATTATGCAGCTCTGCGCTTAACAACAAACAAACTATTAAAATCTCACTTTCAATAGTTCTTTATCCCACAGTTACTTTCTTTTGAAATCACTGTTTTATTTTTTATAATGAGTTTTCTTCAGGAAGTGTACCTATTGCAATACGTGTTCTCGATTACATAATCACCACGTCGTTTAACTGAAGAATCATTAGATAAATAAATTACATACGATTGAAGCTTTAAATCTTTTAAATCTTGTAAGTCAGATCTAAACATTAAAATTATATCATCATGATAGATTTAATCGTTTAAAATTCATTTCTCCAAAATCAGTTTTTATCGTATAACTTAACTTTTTGATTAAGGTTTACTGATTAGCACTCCTGACAAATAACACAGGCCTGCGATGGTTTTATTGTCTTGAAATATTTACATGTTCCACGGTAATTCCTGTACGCTGAATCCGAAAATGACATCTATTTTTCTCAATCACTTACAGATTTTTCACAAAACGTCATATGTACTTTTACATAAGTGAATAATTTTCATTGAAATCGGGTCACAGTTTGTTCGGCTTAAAGTGTTGACAACACTAGCTATAGATTTCTCTAGACCAATCTTATCTAGAACAAGTCTTATCGATCATTCTAGAACCCTCGAGAAACACTCCTCTGGTATATAAACGGTTAACAGGCCACATGACGTGTAATTTATGTTTGTTTGTGCGGGCACTTTGATATTTCTTTTTCAATATTATTTATTCGTCGCTATGGCAGCAAGAGTTTGTGTAAATGACCCAAACATATTCTGTTATATTTGTGTTAAATTTGTTGTAAAGAATCAAAGGCAAAACATTACAGAATTCGTCAAAAAAAAGCGTATTACGCGTATTTTGGAATAAAACTTGGGGACCAAAACAAGTCATTGGCTCTGCATAAAGTTTGCACCGTTTGTGTCGAAGAGTTGAGACAATGGACTAAAGGTAAGAAAAAGTATTTGCCTTTTGGAATTCCAATAGTCTGGCGTGCGCCTGAAAACCACGGAGATGACTGCCATTTTTGCTCATGTAACGTGCAAGGCTACAATACTCGAAATAAAAGGAAATTTCTTATCCGAACCTCCAATCTGCTGTAAGACCTGTTGCTCATGGACCTGATGTACTTGTACCTACTCCACCAGAGACTCTTGATACAGTTTCATCTGGTTTCTGAATGTGATGTCAATAGAAATGATGATAAAGATTGTTTTCAACATGAAACGTCTGGAACGGTTTCATCAAGACATCAAGGAAAGGAGAGAAGGAATCATTGAAGGTGGAGCATCAACATGATGACTGATTACTGCTGGTCATTGAAACGAGATGAACCAGACGCAATAAATAAAAGAAAGACTATAACTGAGTTAGTTCTGAGACTAAAAGATTTCACAAAAAAATCAGGATGAATGAGGATGCATATTCGCTTGACATCGATGTTCTTCCCTTTTCTTCAGTTTGTTTGTATTTTTTGTTAATAAATGTTCATTGTGGTAAACGTAATAATAATTTCATCTAAGTAGGTTTTTTCTTCCCGATTTGTAAAAAAAAAAATCCTTACG